TGGCCAAGCAGCTTGCAGACCTTGACCTTTGGCGAAGCTTTTAACCAGAGTTTGAAAGGTGTCAGCTTACCAAGCAGGCTCCAGACATTGTCCTTTTTTGGGCACTTCTACCAGAGCCTGGAAGGTGTCACCTTGCCAAGCTGCCTCCAATCATTGACCTTGGGCGAGCGGTTTAACCAGAGTTTGGAAGGTGTCACCTTGCCAAGCAGCCTGCAGACTTTGGAGTTCGGCGATAGATTCAACCAGAGCTTGGAAAGTGTCACTTTGCCAAGCAGCCTGCAGACTTTGGAGTTCGGCTGTAGTTTCAACCAGAGCTTGGCAGGTGTCAGCTTGCCCAGCAGCCTGCAGACTTTGATCTTTGGCTACGAGTTTAACCAGAGTTTGGAAGGTGTCACCTTGCCAAAGAGCCTACATACTTTGACCTTTGGTTCTGACTTTGACCAGAGCTTGGAAGCTGTCACCTTGCCAAGTAGCCTGCACAATTTGACCTTGGGTCCTTGTTTCAGCCAGGGCTTGGAACGTGTCATCTTGCCAAGCAGCCTGCATACTTTGACCTTTCACGAAGAGCTGAGATTCTTGAAAGGCGTCACGTTGCCAAGCAGCTTGCGTGATGTTCACTTCCAGGATTTCAATGTTTGCATTCATGGCAGTTCGCAAAGATGACAAGACAAAGGGGGCAGTTCGCTACTGTGTGAGGCTTCTCGGTGATGCACCGAGAGGAGCTGCGATGCTGCGATGCTGAGCCGTCAGACGGTGAACCCGACAGCTGCAGTTTCGCAGAGTTTCATCGTTCGGGCTCTGCCGATTCGGCAGATGTGCATGACTTTGTGGGAGTAAGAAGGTTCATGCAACATGTAGTCAGCTTCAAAAAAACAGCTTCGATGCAGAATCTCAGCTTCTCCAGTGAGCAAATCATCCAACACGGCCAATGACCGTCCTGCAAGCATCCCATCCCTGAAGATGGACCACCATGGACCCACAGAAGCACGACGGTGCCACCACGTGTCGTGCGGACGCTGCCACCACGGCGAAGCGCACCGCAGAAGTGCATCGCAGATCTGGAGCGGCTTGGAGAGTGGTGCGGGGGTGACTCGTGCGTGGTGAAGTGACGAGTATGGTAAGACTGCGCAAGACCAACCCTAGGTGAATACACGGGTATACACATGGTACCGCTTCTTATTGAGATCCAGGTGAATGCCTTGAATTTTCTTTTCTTCCTTGAAGAAACAGACCTGAACTGGAAAAAACAACGAAACCTGAACGGGAAGTTCCGGGAGTGTTGGTCGGTCGGTCCAAAATAGGAAGACCGAGAGAGCCGGCGTTCCGACACCCTGGGTTCGGTTCCTGATGTACTCGTGGGAGCTTGAATGACATGACTGTGGCCTGATATTCTTTCAGCGAACAAGATTGGAATGATTAAACCTGGATTTTTTCAGTTGTGTCTTTCCCAACCTTCAATTCGAAGTCACAAGGCGGGCGACCTCTCCAAGATCTTCGCAGCAAGAGCAAGAGTTGACACAATTGGTGGAAAGCTTGTTCTCTTTGTTACAGTCAAGTCCTCCAGGATTCCTCCAAGCATCTGCAGCAAGAACTGCCCAGCGCGCAGCGTTCCATGGGGCCCAGACCGCAGGCCGACCGCTGTTCGACCCTGCCTGGGATGGTTCACCGTGCCAAGCAACCTGCAGAGTTGCACCGAGCATGACGGAAAAACCGCTTGCAGAAGGGGACGTTGCCAAGCAGCTTGCGGACTTTGACCGGCAATTTGTTCAGAATGAACCGCCAGAGCAGGTTTCACATTGCCAAGCTATTTGCTTTGCCCTTCGCCGAGAAGTTCAACCAGAGCTTGGAAGGTGTGTTCACTTTGCGGACTGCAGACTTTGAGCAGACGCCAAGCAGCTGTTCCTTCGCGCTTTCACCTTCACCGTGCGTTGTGCGCCTCGAAAAACGGCTTCTCAGCAATCGTCACGCTGATGTTGCCGATGTCCTCAGGTTTTTGGGAATGGTTTCTGACTTTCAAAAACATTGTTCGCATGTTGCTGGTGAAGGGAGTTAGGGCTCATCGGGAAGGAAAGTGTTTCAAGTCAGAAGCGAACACCGTGCGAAGACCGTGGCGCCACGGCCCTTTCGCAGCTGTTCTTTCGACGGTCCGTCACGGTCGGTGGGACACCATGCGATGGCACGTTGATAGAAAGATCCGGAAGACTCAGCTGAATGGTGGTTGATGCGTGTTCATGTCAGAACGTGTCGCATTCTAAGGAGGCACGTGCATTGACATGCATTGACTATCAGAAGTATGAGGTTGACGGGGTTTTCAGCCGCCAGCCGCAGTTCAAATTCTGGAAGTGTGGAATGCCCATATTATATGTATAGCGTAATTGGTTACTTCTGCAAGCAACGTCATCAGCGTTGCAACACTCCTAATCTTCCTAATCGAATCCATCGACTATAGAGACTGGGATGTCGGCGATTTCTCCACCTTCGCGTTGCACCGTTTCCTGAGAAAAGTATACGATTTTGAAAGCATTTTTCTACACATACTCACTTCTACACAAAGTATTCCTTTCTTTCAAATGTCGATTATGTCCGGTGCCCCCTTCACCGAGCCGCCGCCAGGTGCACGGGAACGGTCCGGATGGAAGGGTCGCAACGGCGCGTGCAGTCGCAAGCTGAGCTGGTCTATGAGATCTCGCTTGGAGGCGCTCCGGTGTTTGGGGGGTTTGGAGCAAGATGATGAAGATGTTTGGGGCATTTTTGGGGTGATATGCATTTCAATGGCATTGCAGAGTGCAGAGTTTCGACCCAGCCTTTGAATTTTCATTTGGAGTGGAGATCCATGGAAATTCTAAAAGCATCTACTCCAAGATGGCTACAAATAGGACACAACATAAGTTTCAATTTGCAAGGATACGGTTTTGTTATGATGCAAAGGCCCCAGTAAGAGTGAGCAATCAGCCAAACCCTAGTGGTTGGAGGGCCTCCCTATTCTAATGCACACCCATATGGATGCATTCATGTCACTCTACTTAAATTGCTGTAGAGTCTGAGAGATTTTTGCGCATCTCCTCGATGCTCTTTGTTAATCAACTGCCTTACAGAGCGGCACTTGGAATATTCACTGTTTGAGTTGTATTGATTGTATGGGTTCAACCAACGGGTCGCCTTTTGAGTCTGGTTTCATTACATATCGGGCTTCTAGCCTGTAGCCAATAGGTTTATCATCAGAACCTTAGTGTTTTTTTTCGTGGGTCATCTTGCGAACTCACCAGTTTGAGAGATTTCGCCACGGATCTTTGCCGCCCAGTTCTTCATGCAAACTCCGATGAATCCGGTCCAAACATGTCCAAACCAATTCCCGCAGAAACTTCCGGTTGGGACCACGGCATCCAAAAGGCCAGTGCCGCGTTTCGGTCGAGATGCTGAATTCTGTGCATATTTTCCGACGATCCATGTAGACCGGAGATGGGAGTCACTCAGAACACGGTTTGTTTCCGCCCACGCCGGCCTTTAGGCGATGCAAATGTGTCGGAGGTGGTGACGAGGATTGAGCAGCAAACGACGGCATCCTTGACCCAGGACGGATGACCCGGGGCATGACGGATGACCCGGGTGGGTTGATCTCCAAAGTCTGAAGACTCCAAGGATCTCTAAGGTTTAAGGGGGTTAAAACTGAGCCGGGTTGCGACAGTTGTGCTACATTTTTCTCACATTCACAGGTCATCAGGTGGATGTAGCTGTGGACGTATATCTATTTTTTGAGATATGGGTGGGTGTACACTTCAAGTAGAAGGAAAGGGAAGGGTTTGGAACCGTCAATGTAGATTTCAGCTCTCCCAAAATACATTTTGAAGCAATTCGGTTCGGCCGAACGTCCTGGCGCCAGATCCCCAACCAGTCAGGAAGGATTTGCTCCGTAATCGAAAGCTCTTAGCAAGTCAAACTCTGGTTAAAAACAGGGACCTCCTAGTGAAGCCGTGCTCAACCGGAAAATCTTCAATCTCTGATTTGGCCAAGGTCATGGCTTCGGGGATCCCGTGTGGCTTGCAATCTTCATGCATGGTCGAAAGCTATCCATGAACATGCCCAGGGAACAGGAGATCGACTCCATTGCCCACCTATGGTCACGGCAGCGGGCAGTTGCTAGACATGACATAACACCAGTTGATTCTGTCAGGAATCAGTTTGGATGGAGACCCAGCAACGCACAGTGCTGTGGCGTCGAACCCCCGCTTCGGTTGAAGCACAATTGTCCAATCAATCCTGTTGTTTGCAAGATCGCGCTGCTTGCCAAAGGTGTTAAAGAACTTGTTAATATTAATTAGACCAATAAGTTTTGATGTTGTTTTTTAGTCAATTAGTATTCTGCGACTTGTTCCAGATCTTAACAAGCCACCAGCCAGAAACACTTTGTGAACAAGATTGCGCCATCCAATCCAATCCGTCCATTTGCTCCATTCACTTCACCTACTCCCACTCTGCCACCATCTAGAATCCCTCTCCGATCCAGTCACTCCAAAGGCACTCTGCAACTCAAAAAGAACATCTCCTATCCGTGCAAATCCCAACCCCACCGCACCATCCACATCACCATCCCTCCCTCCCTCCCTCCCTCCGTCCGTCCATCCGTCCATCCATCCATCCATCCATCCATCCATCCATCCATCCATCCATCC